AAAATGTGTGCTTTCTTGTCAGTGACGAAAATAACGCTTATTAAATTTTATTTAATTCCTAGGTAGACACATTTTGTGGTTAACTACTTCTTAGTAGGACAATAAATTGTACTTATTACCATTAAGTACTAAAAATAAAAAATTCTGCATAATATGACTTATTATTATTGTTAATTACTTTTTTGTATTTATTTGGCTTTAAAATTAATGGTTCAAGGTTTTTATACTTATTTGATCTTAGGATTAAAATCTCGATTTGATAGTTTATCAGAGCAGATAATTTATTTTCGGAATATTAATACTAGAATAGGATAGGAATAAACGGAGTACTAGCTTCCAACGGAACGAAGCACTGTGATCATGATTGCTGTTTTGTGCTATATTAATACTAATAAATAATCGAATATTATATAGTAACTTTCAATAGATAACAAAACTTCATAGCTAAAGCAATTCTCTAAATAATTAAATAAATATTAATTAATTAACTATTAATTAAATAATAATTAATCTAATTATCAATGAAAAGAAAAGTTTTAGCAATAATATTCTATCGATTGTTAAATTTATATGTTTTCTAATGTTGATTTTAATGATGCATGTAAACACGTTCATAAATATAGGATAACTTCAGCAAAAATAATATACTTAATGTATTCTTATTCTTCTTTTAATAGCACTTTAATCAAAATCAAATTTTTAACTCAAGTTTTCTTTCCTTCCATGCAGCTAAGTTCTTTACTACACTCATTCATTCATGTCAAATTGGATCATTCCAACTAATTTCTCTCTTACATTTCTTATGAAGAGCTTTTAGTATATGTTCCTTATAAGAATGTCACGATATGAATGTTTACAATAATTGAGAGTTTTATCTCGGTATAAAGTTTTTATAGCTAATAGGTCATCTAAAAGGTTCATACTCGCTTCAACGTATATAAATTAATTTTCCTTCTCGTACATTAGCCTGATTTCATAGCCATATATAACCCTTGGTCAAAAAATAGTTTTGTTGAAGCACGTCGTTGTATTTCTATGTAGTGTTTTGGGAAACTCATCTTCATTAATAAAGATCTCCACCTCTATTGTACTGTAAGGTTATTCTGGCGCAATACTATTAAGAACTCTGACTTATTTATAAAAAAAAACAAACATGTTTGACATCGCTACCGAAATTAGGCGAAGGAATTTGAAGACAGACTACAAACTAAAGAAAAATGCTCACAACATTGCCAAACAGGACTTTTTTTCCATAAATAGGGTGTAACATTGCATCGAAAGACGTATGTCTACAAGTATCTTTGAAAATTTTTTTTTATTTTTAAAATCGAATGGAGCACAGTATAAAAGTTATTTGTATATTTCATAGTTTATGTAAATTTGTTGGGAATTCTGTTCCTTTATATGTATATCATTTAATAAATGTACTCTTATATGTAAATAAATGCATTTGGAATCATTTGAACAGCCTTCCGTTAAGCAGATGGAATGTGTTATTGGTCGGTTAGAGACTTATGCGCGAAAATAAAAATCTGTTAAGTTTTCAATGAACTGATACACTGGTAGTCTGTGTTTTTATTATTATTCTTAAATCAAACATATTATGGATAAATTGAAATACTCACATCTTTTAATTCCATATATTAGATATTTATCAATATTCAACATAAAAGAAAATCATTTAAACTTTATAAATTCTTTATATTATATTTTTAATAATAATATATATATCACTTAAAATGTAATTATTATATTATTTTTTCTTGTGACTAATGTAAGCCATACGAACAATCACAAAAATGTTATTAAGTTGTTTAATTAACAAAAAGCTTAGAACTGAGAAGAACATGACCAAAATGGCATTTTGTATTCGATCATAAAACAAGTAACTGTCAGAGACTACATGCGCGACAAAATTTTATCCTTAAAATAAATTTTGTCGTTTTTATTGTCGCTATTTTATGGCTGAGCGCACAATGCCGTCAACCTATGTTCCGAAAACCACATTTCATCTACGAAATTCACTTAAAAGCCTTAATGCTGAAATATTGTAACAAACCGGAAGCGCGTAAGTCGAATCGTACTACAAAAGTGAGAACAGTGGAAATGATTTATTGAATAAGTTTCAAAGAACAGGAATTCTAAGCATGCAAAGGAGAGGAATCCTAACTGGAAAAGGAAAGACAACTAAGGGATAAGTGTATTTTTGAAGTTTAATTTAATTGGAAAAAAATTGTATGTTATCAAATAATTTTATTGACAGATAGATATGTGCTCAAGAAAAATATGTAAAATAAATATTTTAAAGTTGCTCTTTAACTAGGGGTTAAGAAAATTTTAATATCTTCAATCTCTTATTGGTATTTGTAGTTTCATTAAAGGAAATTTGGTGCATACTTGGAGAAATGATTAAATTAATTAGTTGATGAAAGGACTGTTGAAAGGAGTATCTTCTTGATAAAGTTAAAAAAAACATTATGTTTAAGTTTAAACTAACAAATTACGTTGTGATGTACGTATTCCTATATAAAACCTCAACGGCATTAAGTTGTTATTTTAGTTGTCATGTTTTCTGGGAAGACATTTGTTGTACAACATAAACAAGGAAGTTTGCATTCTGCAGTCATTTCCATGTCACACTTTCATTTCCATCACACTTGCTGATTATGCACTTTTGAAATCTATTGACAATTGATTCCATGCAATTGACTTTGAAATATGTCACATTCATTGCACATTTTACACAGAAAACCGTGTATTTGTGCAAATTGTGAAATCAAAATAAACTAAAATTTTATTATATGTTTTTTATATACTTATATTTCAGGTTTATAATTATTACAATTAGTCCTTAGAAATGTGTACATATTAAAAAACCCAATGTTAAATATTGCGTTACTACTTTTATTTACATTTAAATAACTAATCAAAAAATTTTTAAATAAATTTATTTATAAAATTATTTCCAAGACCACTGATGATGGGTATTTGGCAATACTCGTAACAGCTGTATGGTCAGACAAAAACTCAATTAATTAAAATAATATAAAAATAAAATAAAATTTTTGTTGTTGTAGTTCACTACTCTTCGAAAAAACCTCTTTATAAATAAATTTATAAACAAATTAAGGGATCGATAAGTTAAAAACTCGTCAACTGTTTTTCGTTTGTAGATATATCCCACTTAAGTGACGTGCTGTGTTCTGTTACTTTAATCGAATATACGATTTACTTCGATTCCTGAAAGTGCCGTAAACCGAAAGTAAACCGTTAAACCCTTTACAGAAAACAAATTTAGTTTGTTACAACTTTTCCTTGAACAAAATAATATTTTAAGATATAAAAACATGCTTGTATCAACTTGTATCAGTGTTCTTTAGTTATTAAATAACCAGTATTCATTAGTAATAATTTGAATATATCAATCAATGTAATACATCAATATATCAAATATATCAATATAAACTATATAAATATAGTTCTAAGGGGATCAGGGATGTAGTTCTAAAAAACACTTTCCTTTTTTCCTCAGATAAATTTCGGTATTTAAAGTATTAAGGATTAATTGTTTTAGCTAGAGATTATAATAAAAAAAGATTAGAAATATTTCATCATATAAAATTATGTTTAGATAAAGGATTAATAATAAGTAAATTAAATTATAAAAACTAATTTTAATACATTAAATTTCCAGGACTGACTAATGCACTAGACTATTTCGGATTCCAAATATTTATCAATATTTTTTATTCATTATAATTATTATTCTTAGAGGTTGTGGCACTGCGACCGTCGGGTCTATTCTGCCCCTTCTGGGTTTAGAGTATGTCTCTAAGCCCTGTTGCTTGAATTTTACTGACTCTTCCGTAAGAACACACATTTCCAGGAGCCTATTTCGTATGTGCATTAGCGCAGGGCATTCTAACAGCACATGTGTGGCCGACTCCTCATTCTCTTTGCAGAATCTACAGTTTGCATCCGTAAGTATACCCAGTCTTGTAAGGTGGTGTTTTCATTTACAGAGCCTTGTTAGGACTCCTGTGATAATTTTAAGTTTTGCTTCTTATAAGTTCATTCAATCCTGGTTATAGTTATAGGTACCAATAATGATAATTATAAGAGAAAGGAACGTATTATGTCCTAGTACATAAAAAGGTTCTGGCCGCATCATCGGTGTGGTTGCTCTTTTCCTGGTTAGTTTGTCCGCGTATTCGTTTCGGCGTACGCTAGTATGTCCCGCTACCAAAAGAAGATTTAGCTTGGTTTTCTTATTACTTTAAATTGTCTGTATAAAATTTTTAGACTAAAACTAAGAAACATTCAACTGTATTGAATTTGAAACGAAATTCACATATAGAAAGATATATTCAGCATATGAATTATAGAGAAAAGTAGATGACATCCATAGGAGTCATGTTGAATAGAATTCAAATACATCCGAACAGATTCATATCGGTAAACATTCTTATTTGAACTGTAAAAAAATGTGCTAAAGATCTTTATCTGTTTAGGATTAGTTAAACCAAAAATTGTGAAAAATTAAAAATAAATACATATTTTGGTGTTGTGTGTACTGAATGACATTTAACATAAATTTATAAAATAAATTATTTTAAAGTAAATAATTTGTCTTTTATTGAATTGACATTTTCATACAGAAAACTAATCGTTGTCACATTTTCCAACACCAAAATGTCATAAATGTCAACTTGTTTGCGTGTTGTGAACACCAAACAATCAAAATTTAAATGTCATTTGATATTTCAAACGTAGCGGGGACGGGTGGTAGAGGGAGTTTATATGAAAGACATAAAAATGTTTGTATTATATTCTGCTTCATATTTTCGATGCTTTTCATTTAACAAAAATTAAAATAAAAAAAAAATTTAACATTTTATTAAAATTTTTTCAAAATATACAATTAGCGGATTCAGAGAAGTAATACTGTTTCAAAAATATATTTATTTAGAGTATTGGTTGAAATTATTACAATACTCCATTTCATAATTTTTGAATGATATTAACTTCTATCTAATCCACAAAACAAAAATTATTAAAAAATAAATTTATTTTTAACTATATATGTTATCTCAATTAGCGATGACATAAAGATGTTATAAAACCCATAGTTGACATAATACTTGGTATATCCGGAAATGAATGATCGGCGATGTCAACAACCATTTCCATACCATCATACTCCATATTCGCAATAAAAATTTTATTCAAAAACATGACATTCAAAAATTCTACAGCTTCCTTCTGTCGGCTAACATTTATCATATCCGACGTAATCCGTTTAAAGCGGCAACACAAAGCTAAGAAAGGTAAATGTGCATATCTAGCACTACATTGAGCTAGACAACTTAAGGGCACCTTATCTGTCAAACCATAGTCAACATAAAAGACTTCATAAAGTTTCCTTTTTTCATCAATGGCCTTAATAATTGCTCTATACCAATATTTATCGAGTACATATTGCGCCATAACTAGTTTTCCAAGCAATGGAGGTTTTACCAATTTTCTAGAAACTGATATATCGTCATTATTCCAGATTTTTGGTTGATTTGTAGCTTTCTGGTTAATTTGTACATAGAACCTGTTCACATCAATTATACTTGAAACAGTTACAGAGATGTTATTTTCCTTCGGAATTTCAGGTTTTCTGCTTGCTAACTTCCTATGCATATAAATCGGACTCTTAATATAGAATTTAACATGTTCAGTTCTGGGACGTGACTTTTTAAATGGTATACAGTTCTCTTGTAAGACGTCACGTGGAAATATTTGTTGAGCAGTTTCTACTTGTGGCACTGTTGTGTGTTTTTTTACTATCCTCGTATGAGGTACAGTTGAACCTTTAGTTTTGGCATGTGATGGTTTTGCATACGAATGACGTTGTTTTTCTTGAGGTAGTTTTGTCAATTTTTTCATGCCAGAAGAAGAGTGGCAGTAACTATCTTTTATTTGCTTCGTTTTAAACTTATAGTATGCACTTCTAGTAGCTTTTTCGGGCAGATTCTTGTACAAGATTGATTTGTGGTTTATATCAACATATTTTTCTTCTTCAAAGGTTTTTGTACTACGGAACTGTGAGCGATGATCCATTTTATCTTTAGCATCTTTGTAATACTTTATCGGTTGTTTTAGACTATTTACATTATGTAATGCGTCTGTATTTAAATTATCTATGGAATCTTTTTGATATAAATAACTGGAAAAATTGTATTTTTCATCATTGCACGAACGTTGCATTTCTTCAACTTCATTCCTGATTTGAGTCACACGTTTCCTTAGATTATCATTTTTGTACGGATCAGAATTTTTACATGTGGTATTAGATAGATGAAAATATTTTATTAAAATATTATCTTTTATTATATTAGAAAAATAATTTTTCTTGTGCCTGTCCTTTATGATGTTTGTGTAAGTACCAAATGAATCTGTTGCAGTTTTTGCAACTGTTTTGTTTATTTTTTTAAAATTTTTCAGTTCATGCATAGGATATATAATCTTCTCACGTTCTCGACCACAGTACCTCGAACGGATTTTTACAATTTCATCGTCAATAGGTTGGTAATATGATTGGAGTGAAGAATTTAATTTTTTCTTGAAATTTGTTCGATATTTGTATTTGATGAATGGAGTATGCGAGTTAATGGGAACATCATCAGTCGTATTTTTAACGCTGTAATCAGTGCGGTTACTGCTTTTGCACCCTATTTCAATATTTTTGATTTCATCGCAGTACGAGGTGGTCTTTTTATGATCAGTTCTAGTACTATAATTTTTCTTTACTATAGCGTCAAAGTTTTTATCTTCAACAATGTTAGTGTTTCGATCGTGGCATATAACTTCTTTTATACCGGATATACCTGCAAATTAAACAGTTGCGTTACATTTTTTGTTGTGTATTAAATTTATAACATTTCACACTTACCTTTAATATATTTACTTAACTCTTCATTTAAACTTTTATTTATTGGAACGCATTGTTCTTCTTTTGTGATATTCAAGTCCGGTATTTCTTGATCGTATTTATCTTCTTTTGTAAACAATAAAGGTGAATAAATCGATTGTTGGCGGTATGGGCTTATGGGGCACGTGTTTCTATAATTTTCTCCACATTCACTTATAAAACCTTCACTTTTATCATAAAACTTTTCATCTCTCTTTTCGGTTTTTACAGTTTTTTCATGTTCTATATCTTTTTCATGACTGAATTTGGTTTGTTTAGAATTAATATTCTTTTGTAGGTTGTCATCCATTGCTTGTTTCTCGCTTAGATTTTTTGTAGTTTCAGTGCACTGTTTCGAAACTTTATAGGTGCTTGAGGAGATTGCATGTTGTAGTTCCAGTTCTAAATTTTGTTTGTCTTGCTGTAACTTCTGATTTGTACCGATTTCTTGATCCTCGTAATCACTCGTTTCTCTACAAGTACTACTAATACAGGTAGGCGACTCGAAAACTTCACTTTCGATTTCATTTTCATATTTTTCAGCTGTCAATGCCTCTTTAATTTTAGTTAAATTTTGATATTCTTTAATCCCATGATCCATTATAAATGAATTATTGGATACTTTATCATCATTGTCATGTGAATCTTCGGTAACAAAGGATTTCGCATTGGAAAATTCTGAATTTCGTAATGTAGATAGGAGATCCATGTCTAAAAGTTTTACATATAATGCAGTGGATGTTTTATTTATTATTTCAAAATCGCAAAGTGTGAAAAACATTCTATTTAAAATATGTTTCAATATGTTTTTATCGGTACTTTCACATAAATCATTTACTGCAGTTAATATACATCGTACTGCACTATCTGGAAACTCTTTATACTCTTTAGGTAATTCGAAATGATCAAACGAACGACTCAATTTAATCTTATCGCCAAAATCAATAAGTTGTATTTTACCATCTGGTTCCATTCTTGCGCGCAATATAAATCTTTCATTCATAGCTATTCCAAACACATCACCAGTATTAATAGGTTCATCTGTTGGAATAAGTTTCATGTTCGTGTTCAAGTTGTAGACATGATCATTGCAAATTTGAACATAAAAACTTAATAACTCTGTATTTTCTATAAATGTGACAACTCCGCTGAACTCTGAATCAACAATTAGATTTGAGTAATCTAAATATTGGTCTTGTGGTGATACAACTGTTGTTGATGAGGTAGACGAGGTAATGTTTTGTGAAGAACTAGAAGAGATTCTTGTACTTAAGGTCTTTAATGTAAGAGATTTGCAGGAAAGAGAATCAAGTTCAATGCCGTTTTCTTTAGTATCATTATCATAATTTTGTGTCCTTGCAATCTCCATTTTTTCTCTATCTATATTTTTGACATATTCGCTTATATGTACATTATCTTCAGGTACGTTATCTATTTTATCATATTCCACAAATATTTGTGAGTTTAGTTCATTTTTCTTAATATCTTCATTATTTGAAATTATTTGTACAGTTTGCGGTATTTCTTGTAGATTTTTATCAATAATTTCAACCTCAACTTTTGCTATATTATTGAAATGTGAATCAAACTGAGGTAGAAATATTTCTTCAATCGAATTAAATTGTAGACTATTTATAATCAAATAGTTATTTAAAGTATTTACTTTTTCTGTTACCAATTCCATTTGTTTGATGTAATTGTTAAAAGCTATAAGCGCACAAGATAAGGATATCGACGGAGAGTGTTCAACACCGGGCCTTAAAAGGGTGTCACCAGATTGAAAATAGCTATACATGAAATCAGCATATTTTGCACTGTTAAGCAAGAAACGGGATAAATTATCTTGTAAATCTTCCACAGCCTTTTCACAAATTTCAAATTTTCCTGTCATTTTATTTTGATCACTACCTATTTGTGTACATTTTTCCAACATTTTGATGGTTCAATTGTAAGTCTTTTAAAACTTGCTGGAAATAAGTTCCGATGGAATGTGAAATACATCAACCAAACTGATATCTACAAAATTAAAAATGATTTCGTTTATTTAATTCCATTTAAAGAGTTTTCCTATTCAAATACAAACAAAGAAAGAACAATACTTAGCAATTGTAATTTAAAACAAACTGATGATATTAAACAAAATTCTAACTTTCCGAAATTATTTTCAATTTCTATATAAATTTTTTAAATATTAATTTCGTAAAATACTCGCTAAATACTAAAAAATATAAAAAAATAAAAATAATTATTGAAAAATACTTATTGAATTCAAATAAAAATTCATTCATATCAAATCATTCGCCTCAAATCAATGTTAGTTTCGCAATTGGTAAGATTACAAAGCCATCAATTTAAATTAGAATATTTCTTAATACATCTAAGATAACTAATAAAACGAAAAAAGTATTAAAACCTCACTGACAACAATTAACTACAAGTCATGATTAAAAGAAAAAATTTTAATTTTATTTATAATACTTTATAGTATATAAGAACGTTATTTACATAATTTAAAATACTAAAGTAATTATTAACATTGCAATGTCAATTGTCTATCTTATAATGTTTATTAAACCTTAATTACATGAATATTTAATTGCTTATATATTTCCTAATATATAGTTTAAAATGTTATTTACAAAATTTAAAATACTAAAGTAATTCTTAACATAATATGTCAATTGTCTCTCTTATAAGTAATATTTATTAAACCTCAGTTACATGTGGTCTACTATCTCTTCAATAATATTCAAAAGCCTTTCGATTTCAAAATTTTCTTCCTCATCTTTGTTTGTTGCCTAGTTGTGTCTAGAACCTGCTTCATTAACATCTGCTTAAACTTCATTTCACGAGTCATTACTGCCAGTTCCTCCATGCTGCATTCCCACACATTTTTCATTTTTTTGGATATAAGCTTGTCAGTTAAAGCAATTTTTGCTTGACATAAACACAACGGACGCACTTTCTTAAGACTCAACTCCGATCGGTACAGGAACAATGTATATCCAACACTTGATTTTCCGCTAGCCATTTTGTATACGTAAATAATAATGTATATTCAGAATTACTGAGGCTAAAATTGGTATATAAATTTTTTAATGACGTTGTATTCTTATTCAACTGTAAAGTAAAACTGATCTATATGGGAAAAATATTCGACTTATATACGTTAAGTACAGAATTTTATTTCTACCTCTTTCACAGAAAATAACTTCTAAGAAAAAACCATACTTAAAAACAATATATATTCAAGGTAACAAACTCATATTTTCGTACCTTCCCATTTATTTACAATTGAAATAAAGCCATAATTTAGGTAAAAAAGTCATGTTTTTCCAATGAAAAGATTTGAACAACAAATATGCAGGCTGTTTTGTTTAAATATCTTTGATTAAATAATTCTATAATTAAATATAAAGATATAAAATTTCGATTTTCATTAATAGAAAAAAATAATTTTTCATGGGAATTAACAACAGTCCTTGTTCGAAGTATAAGCTTTTGAGATTTCTTAAAAAACCAATTTTAATTACTTATTGCGATATTCCAAAATCAATTGGTGTTAAAAAAAAGCTAAAAATACTCTTCCATTGCGTTTATATCGAACTAAACTCGACTTGACCGCTAAGCGTAGGTAGGTAGGATGGAGCGGCAGCCTTGTTTTCCAAAAAGCCCACTTGAGCTGACATGATGGCCCATTGTGGTACCACAGGAATGGCATGTATATAGATTTAGATCAGTATACATTCAACGCCGAAAAAAGGTAACGACTCCCCGATTAGGTAAAGAAAAACCAACCTGACAATTCTTTAAACTTGCTAGTATGAAAGTACGTAAGATCGGTGAGAAAAAGGGATCCGATGATTTTTAATCTTCTTTTAGCTAAGGAAGGACACCGATGAGCTTATATCCACAAAATATGAGTACGAGAATGCAGTTTGGATGATCTAAAAGTAATGACTCGTGAGATGATATTTAAGCAGAAATTATTTAAATGTGTTTTATCGGCTAACAAGAAATCTCAAAGAAAAATAATGGGCAAACCTTCAACTAAGAGGACAAATAAATCTAATTGATGAAAATGCAACGTTACTTTCATTACTACCATATACTGATGTAAACATTTAAAGACTGATATCACAATTTTTTTAGACTTCAAAAACGATTGAGTGTAACTCTTGATTATAAAAATTTAACTAGACATATTTTAACTCTAAGTTATAAAATCAATTTTATTTATTGTAATGTGTAAATAATATTTTTATTGTTGTATATTATATTTAAGAAAAAATAAAACAAATAACTTAATTTTAACCTTAATTTTTGCGTTTTTATGTAAAATATATATATGCTGTGCTAAAACAGGATATCATAATGAGATAGGATATCACATAGGACAACTTAAAAGAAATATAGTATGTCACAAAATTTATGTTAACGACGCTTTGTTCAGATGTTAGATGTATTGAAAGTTTTCTTAGGAGTAACAATTATATGAAGATATTACATATTAAAGAAATTTCTTCTTGAACAAATCACATATCCTTTACTCAGTATGACAGTTAGTCTCGGTGGACATATATTACAATAATATACCCGTATGTTGACTGATAAGTCATATTTTAATTAGGAAAACTAATATAGATTACTCGTTATGATTTCGAGTTAAATTTATTGTGCGCAAACACTACCATGTAACTTCTAATCGGAATATTGGTCATGAGAGTAAGTCTCAGAGTAAGGATATACTTTATTCATATGCAGATCAAAAATAAGATCATATATACTGACCGATGTAGTAATTACAGTAGAGCTTTAGAGTAATTTAGGACATTACTTTATTCAAATATAGAGTAAAAATCAGATATAATTAGAAAACACACAGTTACAGATATGATTACATACTAAAGATAAGTCTCATCATCAACAAACAATATCAGAAGCTTTATCAATATGTCCAATATTTTTGAATACCATTTATACCAATTAAAATAGACTTTTTAAATATAGATTCTATTATGCTTATCACTATTCAAATTGTTTAATACGGTACCTTATATGGAAATATCCGTATAGATGATGTGTTTCGATAATAATGAAAATTGTTTTCTGAGATCTGGAAAATAAAAATATTTATTTGTTGTTTTGAGTTTAATAAAAAGTTGTTGATTAGAGTTACCAAGTGAACTCAATTCATAAACTCAAACAAATACAATAAAATATTTGAAATCCATATATTGTTTACAAAATCGTACAATAACTGTATTACGAATAGCATTTCTATGAAACAAAAATAAAATAAATTAAAATAATGGAATAATATAATAAAAAATACATAATTAACAACAATTTAAGAGAATGAAATAATAGTTCATAGTACCTGCGTTCAAAAGTAATAAAGCATCATCAAAACATTTCTTCACTACCTGTGAGTTTTGTGCAACCAAAAGATAATTTGTCAAAAATATTATTTTTAGATAAACAAGATGCAACAATTCAACAATGTAACAAACAATCAGAAAGGTATATAAATCGGCATATATTACTGGTGCTAATCAGTTTCAATTTAGAATTGTAATTTGCAACATCTACTCGTATACAAAGTAGCAGAACATATTTTGGACTACAACCTATTGAATCGTATACTTCAATCTGATATACAATTACATATACAAAATGGCAAGTGGAAAAGCAAGTATTGGATATAGATTGTTCCAACATCGATCGGAATTAAAACAGAAGAAAATACGTCCATTGCGTTTATATCGAACAAAACTCGATTTGACGGATGAGCTTATATCCACAAAATATAAGAATGTACGAGAATGCAGCTTGGATGATCTAAAAGTAATGACACGTGAGATGATATATAAGCAGAAATTATTAAAATGTGTTTTATCGGCTAACAAGAAATCACAAAGGAAAATAATGGGCAAACCTTCAACGAAGAGGACAAATAAATCTAATTGATGAAAATGCAACGTTACTTTCATTACTACCATATACTGATGTAAACATTTAAAGACTGATATCACAATTTTTTTAGACTTCAAAAACGATTGAGTTTAGCTCTTGATTATAAAAAATTAACTAGACATATTTTAACTCTAAGTTATAAAATCAATTTTATTTATTGTAATGTGTAAATAATATTTTTATTGTTGTGTATTATATTTAAGAAAAAATAAAACAAATAACTTAATTTTAACCTTAATTTTTGCGTTTTTATGTAAAATATATATATGCTGTGCTAAAACAGGATATCATAATGAGATAGGATATCACATAGGACAACTTAAAAGGAATATAGTATGTCACAAAAGTTATGTTAACTACGCTTTGTTCAGATGTTAGATGTATTGAAAGTTTTCTTAGGAGTAAAAATTATATGAAGATATTACATATTAAAGAAATTTCTTCTTGAACAAATCACATATCCTTTACTCAGTATGACAGTTAGTCTCGGTGGACATATATTACAATAATATACCCGTATGTTGACTGGTAAGTCATATTTTAATTAGGAAAAGTAATATAGATTACTCGTTATGATTTCGAGTTAAATTTATTGTGCGCAAACACTACCATGTAACTTCTAATCGGAATATTGGTCATGAGAGTAAGTCTCAGAGTAAGGATATACTTTATTCATATGCAGATCAAAAATAAGATCATATATACTGACCGATGTAGTAATTACAGTAGAGCTTTAGAGTAATTTAGGACATTACTTTATTCAAATATAGAGTAAAAATCAGATATAATTAGAAAACACACAGTTACAGATATGATTACATACTAAAGATAAGTATACCATTTATACCATTTATAAAATAGACTGTTTAAATATAGATTGTATTATGCTTATCACTGTTCAAATTGTTTAATACGGTACCTTATATGGAAATATTCGTATAGATGATGTGTTTCGATAATAATGAAAATTGTTTTCTGAGATCTGGACAATAAAAATATTTATTTGTTGTTTTGAGTTTAATAAAAAGTTGTTGATTAGAGTTACCAAGTGAACTCAATTCATAAACTCAAACAAATACAATACAATATTTGAATTCCATATATTGTTTACAAAATCGTACAATAACTGTATTACGAATAGCATTTCTATAAACGAAAATAAAATAAATTAAAATAATGGAATAATATAATAAAAAATATATAAATAACAACAATTTAAGAGAATGAAATAATAGTTCATAGTACCTGCATTCAAAAGTAATAAAGCATCATCAAAACATTCCTTCACTACCTGTGAGTTTTGTGCAACCAAAAGATAATTTGTCAAAAATATTATTTTTAGATAAACAAGATGCAACAATTCAACAATGTAACAAACAATCAGAAAGGTATATAAATCGGCATATATTACTGGTACTAATCAGTTTCAATTTAGAATAGTAATTTGCAACATCTACTCGTATACAAAGTAGCAGACCATATTTTGGACTACAACCTATTGAGTCGTATATTTCAATCTGACATACAATTACATATACAAAATGGCAAGTGGAAAAGCAAGTATTGGATATAGATTGTTCCAACATCGATCGGAATTAAAACAGAAGAAAATACGTCCATTGCGTTTATATCGAACAAAACTCGATTTGACGGATGAGCTTATATCCACAAAATATAAGAATTTACGAGAATGCAGCTTGGATGATCTAAAAGTAATGACTCGTGAGATGATATATAAGCAGAAATTATTAAAATGTGTTTTATCGGCTAACAAGAAATCACAAAGGAAAATAATGGGCAAACCTTCAACTAAGAGGACAAATAAATCTAATTGATGAAAATGCAACGTTACTTTCATTACTACCATATACTGATGTAAACATTTAAAGACTGATATCACAATTTTTTTAGACTTCAAAAACGATTGAGTTTAACTCTTGATTATAAAAAATTAACTAGACATATTTTAACTCTAAGTTATAAAATCAATTTTATTTATTGTAATGTGTAAATAATATTTTTATTGTTGTGTATTATATTTAAGAAAAAATAAAACAAATAACTTAATTTTAACCTTAATTTTTGCGTTTTTATGTAAAATATATATATGCTGTGCTAAAACAGGAT